TATTGCTATATTTGACATTCCCAATGTTCTAAAGTCTTTTTTGATTTGCCAAACAGTTATTTATTAATTTATTAATGTATTGTTATTCAGTGAACTAATGTGATATTGATATGTTATATGATCACAATGGACTCTGTATCCTATTTTCAATCCGTTATTTGGGGAAATGGCTAAATAATTAACTATTTGGCAAAATGGTTATTAATTTTTTTTTTTTTTTTTAAATCAATCAATCAATCAATCAATGTTTATTTATATAGCCCAATATCACAAATATTACATTTGTCTCAGTGGACAAAATATCAGTATGACAATACGACACCCTCTGTCCTTAGACCCTCACATCGTACAAGGAAACACTTCCGAAGAAAACCCACAGTTTAAAGGGAAAAATGGGAGAAACCTCAGGGAGAGCAACAGAGGAGGGATCCCTCTCCCAGGACGGACAGACGTGCAATAGATGCCGTGTGTAAATTGAAAAGATAATACATTTGCAACATAGGTAGTCCAAATGTTTGGAAATGCATGTGCGTATAATAGGAAGATGAATCCACGAGGATATCCATCCAGGACCTATGATCCAGGACCACAGCCACGACTCAAGATCCAGGGCTCGCGATCCAGGACACAGGAGCGCAGGATCATCCATGACTCCGGATCCCGGCGTATACAGACACCAAAAAGAAAGACATTTGGGGAAGCTGGGTTAATCGGAACATGAGAGTACACAGGTATAGACAGAGAGAAGGAAGAAGTAAGATGTCCCCCGACAAACTAAGCCTATATCAGCAAAACTAGGGGCTGAATCTAATCAGCCCTAACTATAAGCTTTATCAAAAAGGAAGGTCTTAAGCGCACTCTTAAAAACGGATAGGGTGTCTGCCGCCCGAACACAAACTGGAAGCTGATTCCACAAATGTGGAGCTTGATAAGAAAAGGCTCTGGCTCCCATTGTGCTTTTAGAGACTCTAGGAACAACCAACAACCCTGCATTCTTGGAACGCAATGCCCTAGTAGGACAGTAGGGTATAATGAGTTATTTAAGGTAAGATGGCGCCTGCCCATTAAGGGCTTTGTAGGCGAGAAGAATAATTTTAAATTCTATCCTGTGTTCTATAGGGAGCCAGTGTAAGGCAGCCAGAACAGGAGTAATGTGGTCCCTTTTCCTAACTCTGGTTAGTACACGAGCCGCAGCATTTTGAATCAGCTGAAGAGACTTGACTGACTTCTTGGTACACCCTGATAATAAAGAGTTACAATAATCCAGCCTTGAAGTAACAAATGCATGGACTAGTTTCTCTGCATCGTTTTGAGGCATGATATGCCTGATTTTTGCAATGTTACGTAGATGGAAGTAGGCGGTCCTTGAAATTGATTTTATGTGGGCGTTAAAGGATAAATCCTGATCAAATATAACACCAAGATTCCTTACAGTCTCACTGGAGGCCAAATTAATGCCATCCATAGTTAGTATATCCTTAGATAATTTGTTTCGTAGATTATTCGGGCCAAGTACAATAACTTCAGTTTTGGTCGTGTTTAACATCAAAAAGTTTAAGGTCATCCACGTTTTTAAGTCCTTAAGGCAGTCTTGAATTTTATTTAGATGATTAATTTCATCAGGCTTGATTGATAAATATAGTTGAGTATCATCCGCATAACAATGAAAATGTACAGAATGATTCCTTATAATATTGCCTAACGGAAGCATATATAATGTGAACAAAATAGGTCCGAGCACTGAGCCCTGTGGCACTCCATGGCTAACTTTGGTTTGCGTGGAAGATTCATCATTGACACGTACAAACTGAGAGCGTTCAGATAGATAGGACCTAAACCAGTCTAAAGCAGTTCCTTGTATGCCAACTAAGTGCTCTAGTCTTTGCAATAAGATATCATGGTCGATAGTATCAAATGCAGCACTGAGATCGAGCAAAACAAGAATAGAGACAAGTCCCTTGTCAGAGGCTATTAGAATGTCATTTGTGACTTTAACCAGAGCTGTCTCTGTGCTATGATGTGTTCTAAAGCCAGACTGAAAATCTTCAAATAAATCATTGTTTTTTAAGTAATCACACAACTGTTTTGCAACCGCTTTCTCAAGAATTTTTGAGAGGAACGGAAGATTGGAAATAGGTCTATAATTGGCTAAAACCTCTGGATCGAGGTTGTGCTTTTTAAGAAGCGGTTTTATCACTGCTACTTTGAATGATTGTGGAACATAGCCTGATAATAAAGACATATTCATAATATTTAATAAAGAAGTGCTAATTAATGGAAAAACTTCCTTCAACAGCTTAGTTGGAATTGGGTCTAACATACACGTTGATGGTTTAGAAGAGAGAATCATTGAATTTAATTGTTCAAGGTTTATGGCTGAAAAGCATTCTAGTTTACTATCTAGTGTAATATTAGAACTTACGTTTCCGGGAGCTGTTGATAACACTATACTGGTCAAAGGCAAGAGGTCATTCATTTTGTTTCCAAGAGTAACAATTGTATCATTAAAAAAGCACATAAAATCATTACTACTGAGTGCTATGGGAATAGAAGGCTCAATCGAGCTGTGGCTCTCTGTCAGCCTGGCTACAGTGCTGAAAAGAAATCTTGCATTATTCTTATTCTCATCTATTAATGAAGAGTAGTAGGCTGCTCTCGCTTTACGCAGTGCTTTCTTATATTCATTGAGAGTAATATGCCAAATTAAACGAGATTCTTCAAGTTTAGTGGAACGCCATATCCTTTCAAGTTGTCTCGACTTTTGCTTTATTTTGCGGGTTTCGGCATTATGCCATGGAGCTAATCTATGTTGTTTTATTTTCTTCTTTTTCAAAGGAGCAACAGAGTCTAATTTTATTCGCAGCGCATCTGTAGCACTATCAACAACATGATCAATTTGGGGTGGTGTACATTTTGTATAAGTTTCCTCCCTTACATGCAGACATGCTATCGAGTTAAGTATTGGTGGAATCTCTTCCTTAAATTTGGCTATAGCACTAACAGATAGGTTTCTGCTGCAGGAGCTTTTGACTAATGCTTTGTAGTCTAGTAACAGTACTTCAAAAGTTACTAAGAAATGGTCGGATAAAGCAGGATTATGCGGTTCGACTAATAGTTGCTCAATTTCAATACCATAAGTCAGAACAAGGTCGAGAGTGTGATTATAGCAGTGGGTTGGTTTATTTACACTCTGACGGAAACCAACAGAATCTAATATAGAGTTAAATGCAACAGTAAGGCTATTTTTATCATCGTCAACATGAATATTAAAGTCACCTACGATAATTACTTTATCTGTTTTAAGAACCAAAGTTGATAAAAACTCAGAGAATTCAGATAAGAATTCTGAATAAGGACCTGGTGCACGGTACACTGTAACAAATAAGATTGGCTGCAAAGTTTTCCAGGTCCAAATAATTACATTCAATGAACTAATATGATATAAGGATATTTTCATATAATATTGTTATTATAACAATTGATTACTGTTACTTTTGACCTCATTAATGTAAAGCCTTTTTCCTATTTTTATCAGATACGCTAGTTCCAAAAAGGCGCATGTGACTTTATTCCGAATTTTTAAAAAAATAGAAGAATATTTTTTTCAATGAAAGTCAAAATATTGTTCATTAGGTATATTGTCATCCACATGTTTATGAAGTTTTCATATTAAAGATTGAATTTAATAAACAAAGTCAGGATAAAGTATGGTCATTTTTTGTTTTGGCTCTCCTGTAAAGTTGGTCAAATGTCACTTACGCCCCTCTGGTTCTCACCCCTCGATAATGACTTGTTTAACACTCGTTTTGTCAAAGTTTAGGACTTGCACTTGCCCGTCCTGACTTGAGACTTGACTTGGACTTGAGCGCAAAGACTTGAGACTTGACTCGGACTTGAGCGCAAAGACTTGAGACTTAGGCCTACTTGTGACTTGCAAAACAATGACTTGGTCCCACCTCTGATATTAAAGGTAGGGTAGGTAATTCACTTCAGAAACACTTTTTGTTATTTTCCATGGAATGCTCTTAACATCCCGATAGCAATGAATACATGAAATGCTTTGACAATAAATATATACAAATATTTCATCTGTGGAAGTCGTAGCGCTGTAAAAAGCAAGACCAATTATGTGCCTCGGCCCGCAGCAGATAACTGGATGGCCTACCTGCCTGTCAGCCTTCCATCTTGTGCACAAACTTATCTCGTGCCCTCATTGGTCATGTGCGCGTTCGTGTGTGTTGGAGGAGGGGCTCTGTGAGGAAGTCTGAAGGAAGGGGCAGATTTTTTTCGGTTGTGTATTTTCAAATTCTAGCTTACTCGAGCTGGTTTCTCCATTCTTACCTACCCTACCTTTAAGCGATGTGTTTGCTCAAAATAAAATAAGAAACTTTTACATGTGCAACAAAGAAAAGAGGCCTTTACAATATTCAAAACAAATAAGCAAAACTCAAATAAAATAACAGACAATTTAGGTATTCTTTCTTTCTTGACAATGCTTATATAACTTAATAACTTGTTCCTCGACGGTGTCTTTCAAGCAGGTTGCCCATCACTGTCACTTTAGAGGAGGCGCCGTGGGAATTGTAGTCTTTTTTTCTTATCAAAACAAAATACTGGCTCTAATGGTTACTCAAGTCTAGTCTAAGGTATTGTTTACAGATTGTGTTGCTGCCCCCTGCTGGCCAAAGAGATTTTTAAATGCTTGTTTAAAGGAATTCAGATATTATTTCTCCGTTATAAGTCAAAAAGTCTGTTGTGAAGGATAAATGGGCTGGGATTTTTTTTTAATGTGATAATATGTTGGATTTTTTGCTTTCAACCATCCACTCATGTATTGCAATTAAAACAACAAAATCAGTTGTGTTGCCATTATCCAAATTCCAATGTGCTTTACTCTTTTATCCATTTTGAAAATCGTGAAGATTGAAACCTTTTTTTCACAAAACCTAATTCCTGTGCAGAGTAACATTTCTCATCTGTTCTTCTGTTTCCATCTTTAGACTGGAGAAATGGAGGTGAAGAACCCACTGTTTGACGACTCCACCCTTTACCTTCAAAGGATCCACAAGTCAACCTGACTCGAGACACTTCACTCTGAATGCAGCATTGTGTGTATAAATAGTAGGCACAGTTACACATAATCCTCGTACACTGCTGTGCTCAGGACAGGACGGAGAGTGGAAGGTCCTTAGAGGAGGAGGAGGATCAAGAGTGAGGCGTTCATGGACACAGGGCTGGTTTCTGTTTGAGACTGAAGCAGGGACCAATGCCTCCAACATTCTGAATAACTTCAGAGGGGTAACATACACAAACATTGAATGAAATATCCTGAGTGAATAACAAAGCAGAGTCCAGTAACAGACAGGTGTCTGCACCACTGAGCTACCACTAAGACATTCTGAGTCCATAGATTGATAGGTCACCATGAATATCCATGTTTATTGATAACTAAATAATCCTTAATTGAATGTGTTCTCACTGCAGGCTTTGATTTTATTCACGCATTTTTAAATGTGATTTTAATATTTTATTAACACACCGTGATCTTTATCAGTATGTTAGTTATGTAACCGTTGTATCTAGTTCCTCTATGCATGAATTGATGACGCTGTGTTATGAAATCTGAAAATCAATATGCATTTACATTTCTTAAGTATATAATATAAAATGATTTCAAAAGAATTTGGAACCTCTTTACCTAAAACTCTGAAACCGAGTGTGTTTATACAGTATCTCTCAAACATGGCGTGTCTCCATGGTTTTGTGATCTGTAAATAGCTGCTAACATGTACAGGACAGAGATCTTGTGTTAGTACTTGTGTTCTGCTAGTTTGTGTCAAATCTTCAGTTGTTTGTTTCCTTGTTGTTAACTGAAGGGTTTGAAGAGTTCCTACACATGTGCAAAGGACAGCAAATGTCTCAGAAAATAAGTAATGTCAAGGTTTTGAACAAATAATTCACCTATTATCTGTGGTGCGTTACAGTTTTTAGTGTAATAGTTGTGTAGATAAGAGCGTAGGTATCAGCACACTGTATAGCATTGCTCCCGCACATTTAATCCTACCTTCACCAGATAAAACATGACAAAGGGACTAGGTATTTGTAGGTACAATGCAAAAGTGCCTTAAACTTGCATTATTTCTAATGGCCAGCAGGGGGCGACTCATGCGGCTGCAAAAACAGGTCGGATTGTATAGAACTCAATGAGAAAATGACCCTATTTCTCACTTGATTTATTACCTCAGTATTCCTGATAATTAATAGTAGAAATGCTGAATGTTAAAATGATGGTACTGTTACTCATATGACCTCTTGGATTCTCTGCTTTTACCTTTACTGAAGCTGCTATCCTCACCTGGCCTCAGACTTAATCACCTTCTGGTAAGAAAAGAACACATATACAAGCTTAAACCAAAGTTGTGTTATTTAATAAAGAGTTATAGCATTTAACAGAATCAATCTATTTCCAGCTGGAAAGGACAGATAACCTTTACCACTGATGTAGTACAAGAATCTGACCCTGTTACACAGACAAACAATGACTTTAGACACAGGAAGAGCATTCATTCAGCTAGGTCATTTACATTACAGCCTTAAGAAAGGTCGGGGAGCAGACAGAAGGGGAAGTGTAGCATGGTAATTCAAACCCTAACATCCATATGATAATTGCCTGACAATGGTCAAGGCGACACCCTTCTGTCTGAGAACATTTTGTAGTTAGGAAACCTATATATTTATATTGAATTATTAGACATTCCCATGATACATTATTTTAGGACTGGATGTGAACTATCTTTCTGTGTACTGTATGTATGCTCATATTACCCCAGATGACATTCAACTTCCAGGTTGGTATTTGGCCTCAGTGGCAGATGCTTGTCAGGAAACTGCAGGAACCCTGATCTAACTCAGGAAAGCTGCACTCTTTAGGCCCCTCTCAGCTCTACCACATTCAAAGAGATGGTTGAACTGTATTAGACCTGGACACATATCCACAATATGTCAAAAGAAAAATATCTACAGCAGAGGCCAGGGAGTATTAACAGGGGAGATATTTAACTATGTTGTAAGACAGTTTTATCCAAACATACTGAACTTGTGGAACAAAACAAAGGGCCATGTGGGATGACGAGAAATTATACAATTCTCATGCTGTTTGCCTTTTCTACATGTTCTATAGCTCTGAGTGCAAAGAGCCAAACGGTTGCCTTGTTTTGGTCATGCTCGCTCCGATACAGACTGTTTTTCACTACATTAGTTCTACACACTACGGAGAACTTCTTTACCACCATGTTTAGCCTGCATGTAGATATACCAGAGCTGAAATAAATATTTATATAATCTGATGTGAAAAATGGTTTGACTCTCTTTTCCTTATTCCCATTTTAAAGGCAGTACTCATTGACCAACACATGCCAGCAGCGACTTTTCCTTAGAAAGAAACTAGTAAAAACAATGGACAGCATGTCACATGGAGAAACAGGAACAAGTCTTCCTTAAAGAAAATACTTCTTATATCATTTTCCAGCAATGTGAGCAATTCCATTCCATGAACCAACATTGTACTTTGGCACTCTTCTTAAACTATTAAAACTTACCATTTTCCTTTACTCAACCCTAACCCCTTCACAGGGCACCACTCTCTATTTATATAAATACATAATTGACATGTCAGCATAATTAATAAATGCAGTTTTTAAAATATATATGAAGTTAGTAATAAGTGAAGTTATTATACAGAGATGTAAATACTTAAAAAGCACAAATGAGCTCCCTTATAAATGAAGGATTTATTTACTACTTAAGATGTGTGGTCATGGTCTCTGTTGTGTTTTGCTGTTGCAGTTTATGCCTTATTAAATGTAATTTATAAACATTAGCATTAATTATTTTATTGGGGCCCAAAAAATGGTAGAATAATGGTTAGTCACTGAGCCGTCCATTAGTGTCCTTTTCAACGGCAGATCTGTCCAGCACCCTGTAGGTTGAGCTTCATTGAGTTTATCTCTTGGGAAGAAAGACACCCCTTTTTAATTCTCCTAACCACTATTCCTTAACCCTGTGACATACAGAGGTAGATGAATAGTGGATAGGAAGAGACGATAGGAGACGTTTGTTTTGGACAATTCCACCACAACCCAGGAGTACTTCTGAGGTGTGCTCCCCCTTTGAGCGCTGACACAAGATGGCTGCCAGGACTGAACACAGGAAATGGTGATTGATATCATGATTGTGTGTATTTTTAACATAATTTTAAGAAGCAACATTTATTGAAATGCATAGTTCATTTATTTGCCTTTGTAAATGGATTAAATTAGATAAAGAATTTCTTAAGAAAAATGCCTACCTTTCTTTACAGACAAAGGGCTTGCAAAAATGTCCAAATGTTAGTGAAGGAGTTTATGCTTCCTCACAAGGTGAAATACCACAGGGAAAAACATCGTTTTTTTACGCACCACTCAATCTGTTTTCTTCCATAACATGTCTTCTTATAGGCCAATGGAAAGTAAAGCTTTCAAAATACACATTTAGGTGTTTTTGTTATTGTACTGCTCTTTTATTGCTCAAATACATATTACATAAACGGATAAGTAACTAGGCAAGTTTCATATTAATTCAAATGTTGTTACCATATTCATCTGTCTTGAAAACAAGTTTTTACTGAGGTTGGTCAAATCATAGCCTGATATCAAAGCCTTAAAACATTGCAAATATAAAAGTAATTGCTGTAAACAATATTTAATATAAATGTATGAAGGGATACACAGAGACGAGGTCCACAATCCTCTAATTCTTCCACACAAATTGAATTAAATGTACATTTTGTGCCTATTTTACATATTTATACCAACAATTTCAGAAAACTCTTAATGTAAGTATTCCACTGTGAAAATGCCATGTAGATATTCATCTGATATGTGTTACCCTATTGTCCTGCAGCCCTGAGCAGAAAAACAACAAACAGACGGAGAATGTGTGCTCCTCATTTACATTTATCAGTAGCCTGAGCTTCTGTGGTTTTAACAAAATAACTAAAGTATGTATGGTTCCCCACAAGTTCCCACTTCCGCTTTTTCGTATATTTGTGTTCTGTTCTCTGTTAACCGTAACTGCATGGCTGACACATTTCATCACACACCACAACTGTATGGTATTACCCAATTGCATGAGATAACCAAATATCATAAAGCAGTCCCAATAAAAAAGCGACCTGAAGGCATGAAGAGGTGCAATGTCAGCTGTGAACCCAGCTCTCCAGGTCCTGATACACTCTGCTGGCTGCCAGCCCGGGGAAGTGCTCACAGATCTGACACAGCCTCTCTCTCCAGTCAGTGAAGGTCTTTATCCTGTGAGTGTGGTGCCACTGGAAGAACTCCTCATAGGCCTGCCTGTCTGCAGCCACTTGCTTCAGATAGGCAGCCAGATCTGCTGTATTCTTGAAATCAGCCACATGGATAAAGGAACCAGGGGGGGCCATGGCCTCATAGGTGGCCCTGCTGGGGCCGAGAACGACAGGCACCACCCCTGCTTGGAGAGCGTTCCTCCAGAGCTTCTCACTGATGTAGTCCTTTGCCTCAGAGTTCTCAAAAGAAAGGTAAAATGCACACTTTGCAATTGTGGGCAACAGCTTCTTGTCCGAGAGGGGTTTCTTGTTCCACTTGCCGTACACCTGTATGGGGATGTACTTCTTTAGACTTCGGTAAACAGCAGCCCGAGCCTGCTGAGGCCGGAATCTGCTGACCACCCAGCTGACGAGGCAGGAGCGATTAGGAGCAGCCTGGAAGCTCTGTGCATCCCCCCCAAGCACGGTCTTTCCATAGGGGATGTATATGTCAGCATCACGTCTGTAGCTCATCGTCCAGTTGAAGATGCCGGAGAGAGGAGTGAGGTTTTCATTGTTGACAGGGGGCTCCATGGACAGCCACACCCAGTGCTGGGAGGCTGGGCGGTCCAGGTGCAGGGGCAGCGCCGACAATCCTTCTTTCAGCTCCTGGTGATGGAAGACAACCACATCAGCAGTGGAGAAGGTGGAGGTGTTATCAGTGAGGAAACAGCCACGGATGTTGTACATCTCGAGGCATTTGTCTCCATCAAGCCTGTAGGAGCGGCCAAAAGGCCAGCGCCACAGCAGGATGCTGATGTTTCTCTGAGGGACAGCTGGCTGAGGGTCCTGCAGGTAGAGGGTCGGGTCCAAGAAGATGTAACAAAGCAGGGCTGAGAGGGAGCTGAGGACCAGGAGGGCTCTGCATCCAGATCTCTTCATGGCAGCCAGCCGGGCGTGTTTCAGGTCAAAAGGGCACTGTTTACTGGTATGCAACTCTTAGAAAGGAAGGAAGGGTAGATCTGAGGTATATAAGGCTTTTATATGTTCACATCAGTGCATGATCTGCAGAGGGCAGGATGTATAACACAAAATATTTCCTACTGTGGGAGACATTGAATATGTTTGTGTCAGAGGGCTTAGAGGTTCATTACAAGTGAGTTTGCATCAGAAACAAACCCCTATACAGGCTTGGGAGTAATGGATCACATGTAACGGGATTACGTAATCAAGATACAAAAAAGAAGTAACTGTATTCCCCTTACAGTTACATTAAGAAAATACGTAATCAGATTTCTGTTACATTTTTAATTACTATTACTTTTTTCTATGGACTGGGTGGACAACTGATTTATTAAAACAAACATACTATTTGCTTTAAACTAAAACACTTTTTGTAAGTCTAGCCTGGATTTAAGAGGACACATTTATTATCCTAAATATCTTGGTTTATTCTTTTCTAAGGTCACATTGTTCTGTTCGCGTACATAATACACTCAAGCCAAAACATCTTATAGATATGTCTCTCTATTTGATTTATTTGCATTGCGTTTGATGTTGACGTAATCCAAAAACTGACAGAAAGTAATTAGCGTTAACATGTTACAGGTGACTAATAATTATAAAGGGTTACAATTGTTTTAGTTACCATCCCATCCCTGCACTTATCATCAAGTGTGTCTCTAATATGATCTAACAACTCTTGCGTAACATTTGAAGAAATCTTCAATTGTGTCTGAGTTCTGCTTCTGTCCGCTTTTCAGGATTTCATCATAAGTATTGCGGGCTTAAAAAAAAAAGTTAGTTAACGGATAGTTATTGATAAAAACAAGTAAAAGTAATTTCTGAATCAAACAAAGCACAAACATGTATCTGTGTATTGTTTATAAATGAGTCACTTTCTGATAGATATTCAAACTATGAACACTAGACATAGTGTGGGTTGAGGATAAAGTATCTTGTAAAATAACTGACAGAAAAAGGATTTCTGATTGAAAGAAAAAAAATACTATTTCAAATATATTTCCTGTAAGATCTTATTTTTTTACCCTGAGGACAAAGCCAGTATTCAGTATTTAATTAAATGTAGATATCAGCAGGTGGATTAGAAGGAGAATAAAATCGAGGGTGGCTGAGTTCTTGGCACTTACCTGCTGCCGTGCAGCTCGGTCCGACTCAACACATTCTTAATATAAAGGAAATCCCGCCTCCCTCAAATTTCGGACACATGTCTTGCTTGACACACACACAGCTCCGAAAGGCAGGGGTGACGGGTGTGAGCAGCAACCAACCTCATCAAATCATGACATCATTTCAAATCGATGAGTTTTAATGACTTTATTTTCTTACAAAAGGAATTATTATATACATTTTCACTTCAGACTCTTGGTGGGTACATTGCATTTGGGTGTGTTTAATCAGATCTGGTTAGGCGGGAAACAGGGTGGTAAAGAAGGGTGCCACACAACCACCCTGTTACACAAGAGTGTTAAACTGCTCATGCATCTGCTGTTTGCAGAATGAGCTCTGCCAGCAGTGAGTCGCACTCACATGTGTAATTTTCATTTTGAAACCACAAGCTGGTGTTCCTCTTCCTGTTCTTGAAACTCGGCAGAGGAAAGGGGCCCATGGTGACAGAGATCATGTGGGCACTAACCACATCATAACCGTTTCAAAAATCTGCTTCGCCCTCAAAATCCTACTTGACGTTTATGTTTTCAAAGATTCAAGTTTCAAAGGCTTTATTGTCAAATGCACAGTAACTACAGTGTAGAAATGTCAATGAAAATAAAGTCCCAGGCTCCTCAAACAATGCAACATAATATATATAAGATATATGACAATAAAACTAATTGAAATAGTGCAAGAAGAAACATAGTAAAATACAATAGTGCGAGATTATGTTGCAAGATCAATGCATGTAATGCAGATGACTATACAATAAGATACACTAAGCGAAATAGTGCAGAGAATGTTGTAAGTGACCAAGAAAATGCCGGAGTCTAAATATTGTACTTACATGTAAATAGAATA